CGCGCGGGGGGCGGGGGGAGCCGAGCGCTCCGCTCCCCGTTTGGGCAGCCGAGCGGACCCCGGGGCGCGGTGAGACGCGGCTGGCGACCGACCCCCGGCCCCTCGGAGCGCTCTTCGTGCCTCTCTGGGGGCGGAAAGCTGCTTTTTCCGGCTGCCCCACCGAAATGTGGCGTCCGTGCAGCGCGAGCGACCGTGGACGTGGCTGGAAGCCAGCAGTCGGTTTGCCCATGGAGCGGGGCTGCAAGGGAGCAGGGTCTGGGATGTTTTGCTGGACGGGCTTCTCGGTGTGTTTTTTAATTCCTACGCATCACTTGAAAGAAAGAGCGAGAAACTTTACTACCAACAGGACCCGTAGTGTTTTCCATCGGACCTCTCCCTAGTTGCTCTGGTCTCCTTCCTTTCCCGAAAGGGGACGTTGTGAACTACCTTGGGACTTAAATCACCATCAAGCGTTTCAATTTTTAATATGACAACATTCTACACTTTGGCTGCAAAAGCAATTATTGCGGCTTGTACATCAGTAATTAGCAGGTCTTTGCTGATGTAAGGAAAGTCCTCATTAGGACAAGGAAATAGTTTTTGTGCATTCACCCAAAGGGTTGGTTGTGTTTTGTTGTGGGTTTTGTTTTGTTTTTTTTTTTCTTCTGAAGGTTAATTTTGATCATTTAAAGGGAAAATAACTTTTACTTTAAATGGGATATTGACTTTCTGTGAACTACACCAAATAACGCATGTACTGTAGGTTTTGTCTCAGTGCTCCCAGTAATACTCAGGGTAGATCAAGTACCGCGACTACAAAGTGTAAAGCTAACATTTGCTGAAATTAAAATATCCAGAGGGTTTAGAGTGAGCGGTGAGATCCACATTAGCTATTTTTTTTAAGTCGGGATATATAGCAAACTATGATCAGATGTTAATAGTTAATATCATATGCTTTAGTATATTCATCTTTGGGGAAACCTAAAAAGAGAAATCAAATACAATGGGTTACAGTAATTAATTTATAAATCGTTTCACTGTGGGAATAAGGGGTTACTTTATTGCTTTCTCGAGATAGTTCAGTCAATTAAGGAATTCTGCCTATTTCTTGCATTTGAAGCCGGAGAAAACTACGGGAGACAAGTAAATGTGTATATATATGTGCCTCCCTTGCTTTATTGAGCATCTCGGACCATAAATGTAGGGCTACAGCATGGTCGTGTCGCCAATGAACTCTCTCCTCAAAGCCTGCGAGTTTATTGCCATCAGTATTCATGAGGCTGGGCGTACCCACGAGGAATAGAAACAACAGCGAACATTAAAACAAAATCTATTACCAGGCCCGCGCAATTCTGAGCCTGGCTCAAGCTGTCTGCCCGGGGAGCTGGCAGTGTGTGGCGGGGAGAGGGGGGCCACCGGGGGCTAGTGACAAGGGGTGCAGGTTCCGGAGGGCCCCGGGTAACCCCTCGGGCAGCAGCCCCTGCACTCAGTGCGACCGAGCAAGCAGCAGGACAGCGGCGGCGCCGGGACCGGCTGCAGCACCTCAGTAGCGGGAGTTATGGTCAGGCTGCAATTTTTAGCGTTGCTTTAAAAGTTAGCCCAAAGTTAACGCTTTAGTTCGTGAGGGGAAAAAAAAAAAATCCCAAGGACTGAGAAGAAGAAAAGTTTTTCAGTTTTTCCTTCGGAACTTGATACGCGACAGACCAAAAGATGCTGCACAAAAACCCCTCCTGTTCTTCTCCCCTCTCCTGAAAGATCAGACAGAGGGAAGGCTTGACTGCAATTCTCTAAGGAGACATCTGCCTCCGGGGAAGCAGGGGGGAGCGGGCGGGGTCCGGCAGCAGCCGCCCCAGGAGCCGGCAGCAGCTCGCCTCTTCCCCGGGGTCGGGAGGCTTCGCTGCTCCTCATGTCACCTCCGTCCCTCGGGCGCCCGCGACCCGGGCGGCTTCAGTGATGGAGCGAGGAGCCCCTGCCGGGGGGTGTGTCTCCAGCCGGGCGGGACTGCTTCCCCCCGAGGAGAATCCAGTAGGATGCATATCGCAAGCTGAAGAGACGGCGTGCCCACCCCCATCCCAGGGTTCAGAAGACACCTCGGAGGTGGAACCTTTAGAACTCCTAAAGGTCCTCACCTTAGCCTCCGGCTAGCGCTGGGGGAGGGTGGAGGTGGGAGAAAGGCTGAATTCTCTGCCTTTCTGGCCTTAAAAAATAAACCAGTGAACAGAAGGGGTCGTTTTAAAAGTACTAATGGGGGTTGATGTTCCTCCAGCCAAGGAGAAGGTCTCGCCCAGCAGCATCTGCCATAGCCGTATGTTCCAGTTCCTCTGGTGGCTGCCTGCCTTGGCTGTCTGCATTCCCTGCCTGCCCTCGCTGCCCTGATCCAGCCCCTGCCAGCCCAGAAGTTAAAGACCCGGCCGCAGAGGGAAAGCAAGTGCCTAGTGGTATGTGGGCAGAAAGGCAGGTCACCGCTTAGCCTAAAAATCCTCCGCTCGGCCGCCTTTGCCACCGCTTGCACAATTTTCCCTTTCTCTCAGCGTTTTCCTTCGGGAAACCTGATGAACTTGGCCTGACAGCATCCTGGAGAGTGGGGTTCGCGCAGAGGCACTCTGATAAGTACCCATGCATCCCAAAGGGAACAGCATTCCAGGCCTTCCTTCACAGGAGGAGGACGTGATCCCAGTAATCCGCCTCCCTGCTCCGCCGAGCTCAGCCCAGGAGCACCGCGGCTCTTGGCTGGATCTCGCCATGGTCGGGAACGGCAGCCTGCTCGGCTCGGGCCTTGCTCCTGGATCTGGGCGCTTTTCAGCAACTTTGGTGAAAAACCGTGATGTCTCCCACTTCCTTACTCCTCCCCATCCCTTTCCCAGGAGGGTTTTCCTTTACAATAGGTGGTAGCTGAGAAGTAGCTAGAATAACTCATGGCTTAAAAAAATAAAAAAAAAAATTAAAAAAAATCAACAAATACACATAAAGTAGGATTTGTTGATTCTGTGTGGATTCTGATACAGTGATTTCGATAAATAAGGAGAGCCCAATCCCAATTTCAAGTTCACCCTCTTCAGAGATGAAGTTGCATTTCGCTACCCCAGGGGACACGGTAATGGATGGAGACCTGGCTTCCTCTCGCACAAGTAATTGGCAGACGTTCCCTCCTTCCTCCTGGACTGGCTAGGGAGCTAAGGAAAGGCTTATGAAGACAAATGTATCTTCACTTGGGGTTGTGGTGTGTGCTGTTGTGTGCGCGTGTGTGTTTTCCTGCGTGACCTTTCGGCTATGTTTATGCGCATAAATAAGAGGCATTCAGGAGAAACGGAACAATTCCGATGCACTCCCAGGCTGTCACATCCCTGATCCAAACACCCTGCTGCCTCTTCCCGCTGTCTGCTTGCCTGCAGCCCTGCTGAAACAAGCACGGCAGCATCTGATCGGTCACCGAGGGACGGCCCCAAGGGACAGACAGGATTCACCTTGGGCCGCTCGCTAAGGATTTGTCCTAATCTTACAGGCGCAGTAGCAGATTGACTCCTTCCGTAGTTTTGCCTCCGACTTCATAATAAACTACAAGAAAAAATAGAATCTACTCTAAAACGGGACAGGAATCCCGAATGACTCGTAATACCAACAGTGTCACTCCTCAACTACTTGATTCAAAGGCAAGAGCATTCTAAGGATAAACTACATAAAAGGGAGGGAAAGAAGAGTAAGAAACAGAGAAAGAAGGAAGAGAAGAAGAGAGAGACAGAGAGAGAGACAGAGAGAGAGA